AGTTTGTAGTCGGCTTCGTCGGTTGAGCTTGGGAGTTTTATCGCTTAGTATAGAAGTTTACATACAAATTCGGGTAGAAGTGTACAGAAACCAATAGAAACTTCCCCAAATTTCTGCGGATTCGAGTCGAAGTGTACAGAAACAAATGAAAGTTTCTCAGAATTTCCTCAAAATTTTTATATCAATTCGATTCAAACTATCAATTAAGGAGTTACATGCTACATCTGAGCGTATCGCTAATCAGTATCAATCGTATGCGAGACCTCCTTATCACGAAGCAGCTTACTGACAGCAGAGTTACGTTTAATCAAGGCGCTAGCAATAGTTGAGACTCAAAATTTTTATATTGTCACGAACCTTTGTAGTTGACTATGTGTACTGCTTGACGTGTTTGTAGGCTTCCAAAATGAAGGGCGGAGGAATGACAGAAATGGAGAGTAGAATAGCTGAAAAGAAGAGGACCTTCTATACGAGTACACCGGCTGATGCTAGCTCGAGTGTAACAGTGATGATGAGGGTCATGGAGCTCGAGAGTTCAGCTCACCCTATCGTTGTGAAGGTAGTCGATGAAATCAATCTTGGGAGGACTTAGCTTGGTAGATACGATATCTGGTCATCTCTGAGTGGTTCGTGAACGTTATAATGTTCTTCATCACAGCTAATGTGATAGTGATGATGTTCGACTCCTACCCTCCACCGCCATATAGGCTTACTAACACGGTCACGGTACTCAACCAGGTGAGCATGGGCCTTGGAAGACTCACTGTGCTGCTCTGTTCGAAATAAGTGCGGCACGGCACGTTTCACTTAGACTATCGGCAGCTCATGCATCGGTTCACTCGTCTGAGCCGAGATGATCAAAATTGAAAACACTGTGCGCTCTCAACATTTGCGCTCATGTGGGCTTCCTGGAAGCCGCTTCCCAGATTTTGATTCTCAACAACAGAACTGATTCCCGAGCGGGAAGGATCTTTCGTTCGCCGTCTCACTCTCTAGCCTTAGTGACTAACAGCTCTAGGCATCTAGCTAAGAAACCAGTTTTCCCCTCGCGTTAGAAGGAAATATGAGTTTCAAAAGCGCCTAATGCTTCTGAGTATGGTTTGGTTATGTTCAGGTGTTTACGGTAGTCTTCGTGGTTGAATTTGTGTTATTGCACATTGCACTGGGTAGTAGCTACAATGCATATATGTACAGCAATGGGTGCTGATCAGGCCCGCGGAGATATTGGAGGAAGCTCGCTACGGCATTCGACGGGTTTATCGTTATTACGTCGATCTTGGAGTTATTCCTGGCGAATGGTTCTACTGTTATGACGGCCCTCAGGGGTTTCCGTCTGCTGAGAATATTCAAGCTTGCGAAAAAGTGAGGGCCTCGGAGGCAGCGATCGTGATGATGTGCTCAGCAGGTGGACGTCATTTCGTGTCTTATTGAAGTCGATCGCCCACACGGTGAATTCTATGGGTAACTTCTGCGTTCTTCTCGGGCTGATGATGTTTGTATTCACCCTGATGGGCATGAGCCTCTTCGCTACTAAGTTGAGGATGGGCGAGGACGGCAAGAAGATACCTGATGAGCTGCTCTTACCATGGCCGAAAAGTCAATGTCCAGGTGAGTTCGCGAAGCCCTCGTAGTAGATTTAGTAGTATTGGTAGTAGTATCGGTAGTAGTATCGGTAGTAGTATTGGTAGTATTGGTAGTAGTAGTAGTAGTAGTAGTAGTAGTAGTAGTAGTAGTAGTAGTAGTAGTAGTAGTAGTCGTTGTTGTTGTTGTTGTTGTTGCTGTTGTTGTTGTTGTTGTTGTTGTTGTTGCTGTTGTTGTTGTTGTTGTTGTTGTTGTTGTTGTTGCTGTTGTTGTTGTTGTTGGTGTTGTTGGTGTTGTTGTTGCATGAATTTGCGTTTTCAGGAGGCGGTTATGACTGCGTGCCTCGGTCCCATTTCGACACTCTACTGTGGTCCTTCATAACAGTGTTTCAGATCTTGACGGGTAAGCCCGGTGCTTCTATTCTCAGTTGTGGTACTGGGCGTTTACTCAGGGGAGAACTGGAATGCTATAATGTACGATGCGGTGTTGGCGGTTGGTTGGGGCGCAGTAGTCTTTTTCATCGCGCTGGTGATCTTCGGCCAGAGTGTGATACTCAATCTATTCCTAGCTATTCTTATGAGCAAATTCGAGGAGAGTTCCGCGACGATACGGTGGGTATCATTATGAAGGATGTGTTTGAGTTCTCCTCAGGGAGCGAGAGTTGGCTAGAGCCAGATCACGGTCGCAGTTGTCAGCGTTCCTGCGGGACCGGAGAAAGACCAATGGCGCGCTCCCTTCAGATGAGGCGTCCAGCCCTGAGTCGCAGCTTGAGAGTCCCTCTCCTAGGTAGGCTTCATAGCAAGAACATATTTCGAAATCGCGAATAATATAGCACTATAATGGTATAAGGTATACATGATACTATAATGATATAGTATAGGGGGCTTGTTTGGTAGGAACGTTTCCTCTCTGGCCGATCGATTCGAGACTCGAGCTCTTTTCCCCATTGTTACGCTACGTCGCGGATGGAAGCCTGGGATTTTTAATAATAATATACTAGTATAATATACATAATATACCTTATGCCTCTATAAAGGCATATACATAGCAATAGTAGTGGCTGAGGATGTTGAGCTTGCCTTTGCAACAGGTCATTGATATCTCCGTACTCTGAGGGTATGCAGGCTCAGGGTCAGGATGATCATCACGATGAGGAAGTGTTGGAGGTTACGTTGGCCCCTGAGCCTGATCGT